GACTATTCAGTGAGCTAGTGTTGTCAGAGATGTCTGGTACCTAGTAGGTATGATTGGTGGAAATGGGTTTCCATCTTGGAAAGTGAATGAATAGGAGCAAATAATAAGACTGCGATCCATTTCTGGAGAACTGGATGTGAGCCAATTACATTCCATCCTCCCCTCCCTTAATGGAGGTGGTCAAATCTCAGAGCAGAGCAAAAGATTATAGCTAACCATGTCTAAAATACATCACTGAAAAGCAGGCATAAGTAAAGAGATCACAGTAATAACAAAGTCTTTCCATGGTAATTGTCCACATACCTCATAATAGAAACATGAGAAAACAAGGCAACAGAATGACTCCCAATGCTGCCAACACCCACAACCTACCCATGGACAGTAAGGGGGAAGAAAGCAGAAGCTACACAGCCAGATTATTCCAAAGGATAACAGAAAGGATTAAAAACAGATCAATAATTCTGCATTCGGTGGACCGACAGAAGATATAACTAAACATAATGGATGTAATCAACAATTATGGAGGTTATCAAAGACATTAATAAAAAGCTAGCTGAACTAAACAAAACAATAGATGAATTTCCAGTTTAACAAAAAATGAGTCCGTGAAAAGGTTCCAAACAAATTCAACAGATAAAAATTGTACTGAAAATATGAGCAGCAGAAGTGACTAATGTGAAGACAGAGTGTCAGAACCAGAAAACAGAGCCACTGTCGGAGACCTACTATTCAGAGATACCTCAAAAACAAGAGAACATGAAAAATGGATCCAGACTAGAGATACAACTCAGTGTTACAGTGCCTGCCTGGCAAGTGCAAGGTCTTGAGTTTGATTCCTGGTACAAAAGTGGATCCAGTAGCCCCTAGATCATGAAAAGAAGATGAATCTAAGATTAATTGGAATAAGTGAAAATCAGAAGACAGCACAATTGATATAAACCAGTTGACAGAACAATGATAGCAAACTTTCCAAATGTATGAAAACAGTTAAACATACAGATAAGCCATGTAGAACCTCAAATATGATCAAAAGAGAACCTCTGCACAGCATACAGTAGTCAAAATCCCAGAAATCCAACATAGGGACAGAATCTTAAAAGCTGTTACAGAAAAGCAATGAATCTCTTAATGAAATTAAACCCTTTAGAATTACAACAGACTTCTTAACACAGGTGTTAAAGGCCAAGAGAAATTGGAATGAAGTGTTTCAAATCCTAAAAGGTAACTACTTCAACCCAGACTTATATACCCTGCAAAACTTTCTTTCAAAATCGATGGAAAAATAAGGTATTTCCATGACAAGGAATACGTCAAGAAATCCATGACTACAAAGCAAGCATTGCAAAATAACTGTAAGGCTATCCTAGAAATAGACAGTAAAACCAGTAATGCCAATAAATCAAACAGGCAGGGTAAGCAGTGAAACAGGACAGTGAGGGGAGGAAATCAACAATAATGCAATGAGAGGAATAAGTTAATACCTTTCAATAATGGCCTCAATTTCACAATCAAAAGACACAGATTTTCAGAATGGATCAAGAAGCAAAACCCAGTAATATACAATATGCAAAAAATACATTTAATCAAAACAAATTTAAAGATTAAAAAAATCAAAGGATAGAAAATAATAATGCATGCAGTAGGAATACAGAAAAAAGTGGGAGTCACTATCTTAATTTCAGACAAAGTCTACTTCAAGCCAAAACTGATGAGAAAATTGTAGTGAAAGTCGCTACAATTGGTTAAGGAAACAATTCAACAGAAAGAAATAATTATAAGCAAATATGCAACCAATACGTGTATACCTATCTTCATAAAACAACTGTTACTGGACATACAATGGTCAGATAAACACACAACTGTAAGGGGGGACCTTGATACCCTACTGTCACAAATAGATTAGGCAAAAAAACATCAAAGTAATATCAAAGTTGATCAAAATATTTGACAAATGGAATTCCTAGATATCACAGAATATTCCACTTAACAACAGCAGATACATTGTTTTCAGCAGTACAAGGACCTTCTTCCAAAGTAGACTTCAGAATCTCTTACTGATGGGCTTCCTAGAAGATGACAAAGTCTTCAACAAAACAGTGTAACTTTTTTTAGTCATTCACTGAGATAAATACAGGATGCAGGGGACTTGCAGCGAGATGTTCCGAAACTGAGGGTGTGTTGTGGTAGGAATGGGTTGTTCTCAGCTGAGGAGACAGTGTCAGTGTCGCAGCACTGATGGGGGTGTGCTGGCTCAGTCCCTCAGAGCCCTGGGGTCTTACGCATCTGTCTGTGTGTCTACAGGAATCATAGCAGCTCAGAGCCCATTCAGGGCTCTTCCGCATTTTCTCTCTTCAGTATTTGAGAAAGTTCTTACAGTCTCATCTTTTCGTTCCTTTCTTATTGCTGGATCCAATGATTAAACATTATACATTTGAACTTTCCATTTGTACAGTGCTTTGTGATTTTTGAGGTAACATCTTGCTAAATGTCTTACTTAATTCATGTAAAACAGTAGAGCAGGTCTTCTGTTTTTCAACTGAAAGAAAAATGGAAGCTAAGAGCTAGGTTTTCACACTCAGAGCACAAGTGGCCTAGGAGGACCAAGGAAGCACCTTAGCCACCACGTAGGCCCCTGCCTCCCTCCTTTCCTGCATCCGGTCCTTTGGTCAACAAGGGATTTAAGCTGTATAAGTCTCAGTTGTGTCCAAACTTATCAGTGTTATCTGCCTGCTAAGTATCATGCCATTAAGAACTGTGGGAAATCAACTTAGGGAAGCTATATGAACAGCTTTTGTAATGGTGACTATTGTTTTAAATAAATGGGCCATTTATTTATGGAGTTGGCAGTTTCTTTAATTCATAAATTTGAGTCCTAGAAGGGTTTTACTTATGCCTGCTTAACTATGCCCCAATAGCCAAAAATGTGCAACAGTTTCGCAGCTTGTTAGAGACAGATTTTTAGAATTCTAAATCAAGTAAGTATCTAATCAAGTAAGTAAATACGATATTAAAGTAAGATTTATAAAGCCCTTCACGGGATAACTCTTTCACTCTTTTATCATTTTTTCAAGAACTCAGACCAGATAGGAGTCCAAAATAAGAATATCCTATTTATGTAATAATCATCTACATTTACATGCTGAACCTCAAATTAAAACATTTTAATAAATTTGTTAAAATTACATTTTATTAAATAATAGAATTAAAAGGCCTGTTTGTTCTTTACAACGTGTTTAAGAAAACAGATTATGTAACGTGTTTGCCTGCAGACACCTGACATGCCAGGTTGCTCAGGGATGTGATTCTTGATTAAATGTGACTTTTTCAGAGTTCACAGTGATTGGGCGCACTTGCCCAGGGATGAGTTTTGTGTTTCCTGTATTCAGGAAGCCTAGAAGGTCTAGAACCCCTAGACTGTTCTCCAGCTGTAGTTTACGTGGGCAGCAGGTCCCTTTTTTTTTTGAGACAGGAAAGTGTGCCCCTGGGTGGTGGAAGGTGTGCCTGTGGGCTAGGAGGTTGCAGTTCTGGTCTCCCCACAAACTCCTGATGCCAGTTTTCTGTGAGTCCGCCCAGAACAACCATCACTTTTCCTCCTTCCTCGTATCCCAAAGGGGTGAGTGGAGATGGAGCAGGTTGGGGTGGGAGGTGGTCAGTTTTGGGGTGAGGTTATTTAGAAACCGTGAATAGGGTCATTTCTCATGGCAAGTAGAAGGTGGTGCCTTGGCATGGATTCCAGTTTCTTATCCTGTGTTGGTGTCACTAAGTTTCAAGTACGCTCTGTCCTCTTGAGGGCTCCCATTTAAGGGAGGAGTATAATGACAGAGGGTGGGGTTGGCTCGCTGACAGCAGGTCATCCCTCTTTTGTCAGTCATTAGGTCTGTGGAAAGGAGATATGCTGGCTCTGAACTTGAGGCTCAGTGGACGGGAAGACAGCTGTCAGAATGGTGGGGTCTTTGTGCAGAAGGTTCACACTGGGGACCTCACCTGCTTTTCCTAAAGCTTTCTTGTTGTGCTGTCTGAATCTATAACTGGAGTATAGGTTGGAAATGCAGATGGTTCCTTGTACATAAAAACAGGGTAATTGTCCACCTGACTTGCAGACTTGCCTGAATGAATGTGAGGTTTTTATGTATATGCATAGATGTAGGGTTGTAGATGCGGAAGGCAGTGTAAACAGTGAACAGTTGGGAACATTTGCATGTCTGCCAAAGCCTTTCTAGGGCAGGTGTTCCCATAAATGGGCAACAAATTATTCTGCTTCTTCACCTCCAGCAGGGAAGATATTTGGGGAAAGAGCGTGAGAAAAAGCAAGGGTTAAGGAAAGTAATGGTGCTTCACCTGGACTCAGGTTCCTGCAGGGAGAAGAGAACTGGGCTGAGGGGATGGGTCTGCTAGACCTGTCTATTCTGGCCTGATGCTGCAGGAGGTGAAGAGGGGAGCCTATTATGGACATCAGGGAGGACCAAGAACCATTCCCCCTTCCAGGCTCTTGGCTTTAGCAAAGGGGTCAACATACAGTATGAATGCAAAGTCTTATCCAAAGTCTTATCCCTAAGTCAGGTGCTGTATTCGACTTCATCTTGGCCCACTTGGATCCCTTCTCTTTGAAATGTGATGCCAGGTATCAGAAAAGGCTCTAGAGAAGAAGGGCCATCTCTGGGTTGAGGCCCCTGTGGCAAGTATCAGAGGCCCACAGTGACAGTATATGTTTTTTCTGGCTTGGGCTCCTTGGAATTTCTGTCATCCCAAAGGCAGCTCATTTCCTAACAAACGATGCATGTGTGTTGATATAGTCTGTGCAACTCTGGCCCCGCAGTCTTGCTTAGGAAGACACTGTCTTCTGTCCTGTACACGTGTGTGGCTCCATTATTGTGCTCATGTGGCTCTGCTCAGCACTGTGTGTCCTGCTGCATGCCACTGTGCAGCAGGGCAGACAGATCATGATGCAGGCCCCCAAGGGTGGTGTCCTGACAGGTGCTTGTTCTCTTTGCTCTCTTCAGGGAGTTCTCAAAGGAAAGAGAGAAAGCTAAAGCACGGGGAGACTTCCAGAAGCTACGGGAAAAGCAGCAACTGGAAGAGGATCTCAAGGGCTACTTGGATTGGATCACTCAGGCAGAAGACATTGATCCTGAGAACGAGGAGGAGGGTGGAGAAGAAGGCAAACGCAATAGTAGGTGCTGCCCTCCTCCCCTGACCACCCAGACCAGGGGCACTGCAGATGCCCTGCTGAGGCTGTCGGTAGCATGGTCTCTTCCCAGCTACTTGGCCCCTGCCTGTCCCTGCCACAGAGAGAGCAAGTGCAATTATGTCAACTCATGGTTTAAGTCTGAGGTTTGGGATTTCAATTCTTATTCAGTAAGAGGGTTGTGTAGTGAAGAAAGGTCAGACAGTTGCATTGCGGACCTCAGGAATTCAGTGAATATATGCATCCACCCTGCACTCCTGGAGAGGAAGTGTCCTCATCTAGAGTGAGCAGTATTATAGGGCAAGGACTGGAAGAGCAGGGTCTCTCTAGGCTTTATGTGACCTAAGGGGGCTCCCACCTGTTCTACCCATACAAAGCTAAGTTCTTAGCCCATCAGAGGTGGGGAAGAAACCTCTCCATGGTAAGCAGTTGTTAAGATCCCCAAGAGTCAATGATGGTCGCTTTGTAACCCACTGCCTGGAATCCCACACTAACACTAGGTGTTTAGTACTTTTTGCAAAACGCAAGGCCTGGTAATTGGTCAGCCACTGGAACTAATTAGCATTGTCAATCATGATGTCTGTTTTTCCCACGGATCTTCTCTTTTCTGGCCCCACTTGTGTGTCAGGTAAAGATAGAATTGAAATCCAGTGGTACATTTGACTCAATGCTTGTTTTAAATCTGGAATAGTTGATAGTAAGGAGCAGGAACCTATTTCAAGGGCACGTTTCCAATGAGAAGACTAGGAAACCGAGTTCAGGCCTGTCTTGCAGATGCTGACTCCCAGCATGCAGAGCCCTTGGGTGTTATGGTTTGCTCCCTGTCTAGGATGGGCAGCCCTGCTCACAGATAAATGCAGCACCACGGGTCATAGCCCAAGGGCACACAAGGAGGCAGCCTTACTGCCGGAGTTGGGACAGGGATCTTACATGGGGTGGGGCATTTGACCTCCACCTTGAGAGTGGATAGGTCTGAGGTATGACAGTTATCACTGGGAGAAACCTGACTAACAGGAATGGCATGGGGTGAGCAGGGGTCCTGCTCAGGGAGAATGGGATGGGCCCTTGTTTGGGCAGAAGCCCAGAGGGTGTGAGGGTGAGGGTTAGCTTCCCATCCCCGTGAAGCGTGGGAAAGTCAGATTTGTACCTCTTAGCGGGCAGCAGTGCATAGAAGCCTAGACTGAAGGGACACATAGTAAGAGGGGACTAGGAACTGAGTCCACTTTTGTGTTTCTGAGATTGGGACTCTTGTGAGTCTGTTGTCATGGGGAGGGAGAATTTTATGTTGTCTTGGGTTCCCATGATGAAAGCCTGTGTGCCCTCTGTCTTTCCACCCTGCATTTTACCAGGCTTAGAAAGAAAGAAGGGCTGTCAGGCCCTGAGGATTAGAAACCCACCTCCAGGAGATAGTGAGAGGCTTTCTAGAGCTGACCGTGTTTGCTGAATGTGTCATCAGAGTTGGTAAATGGACATTTGAGTTCCACGTTGGGTGATGCGCCTGCTAGGTGATTGGAGGTGAAAGGAGCGTGGGCTTGTCCTCAGCGCAGTTCTCCTGCAGTGACCAAGCCCGCCTGAACCCTTGGTCTTCTCAGTGCTTCTTCACCCGCTGTTGCTGGCGATATCTAGGTCCAGCTTGGGGATGCCCACCAGCTTGCTCTTCTTCATTTGCCAGGGGCAGCCTGGGTGCTGAGCTGTGGAGGCCCAGTAGCCATCCACTTCCCTTTTCAAGTCCCGCACATAGTGCATATATGGAAACCAGAGAAAGTGCAGCCTGTTTTTCTTGGCAGAACACCTTTCTCTGCTCATTTAGACGTGTCCAGGGGAACTGAGTTGAGGTCCTCTTGCGTCTTTTTATTGCTTTATCTAGAAAAAATTGTCGGTGATCCAGAATCTCAGTTGTAATAGGGTTGTTTTCCATGACTTGACAGTTGATTTCACTGGACTTGAGGAGATGTCTTCTGGTGGTTTTGAAGGTTCACTATTTTATCTATGTTCACCATCTCCTAGGTACTGCCACTGGCTAGAAAGAACTTGCCCTTGGGATGAGCAAATCAGTGCTTATGCCTTTCAGAGATGTTACCATGGAGGGAAGACACAGAAGGGAGTGGCTCAGTCTGCAGAAGCTGGCACCATAACTGAGGACCTTTGCTGTATGAACCTAGTTGGGCAGAGTGATGCTGGCTAAGGGGGTGAGTGGGTGGTTGGGAATGCAAGGAAGACCTGATGGAAGAGGCAGCTCTCTCACAGAGCTCTGGGGAAAGAGCACCCACTAACTACAGAAGTAGGATGGGGTGGCTTCAAGCTGAGACAATGGCAAGGAGAAGGAGCAGAAAGTGACAGATGCTCAAAGCTCCTGTATGTGTTGTTTGTAATACCATCAGTGAAAGAAACAAAGCCCCTTAAAGCTATAAACCTCCAGAATTAGCTCTGTAACTGGAACTCCCATAAAGCTGCAGTGTCTCTTTGAAGCATGATAGTTTCTGCTATGCACAGTTATGTGTGACTCAGAATGATTAACTAGCCTAATGTTGGATCCAGAATAGCGAACCCTTCTTTGGTGCACCCTTTTTCTCTAGAGAGCTCTTTCTGCCAAGTGCTAGGATTTCCTGGGGAGTGAGACTCATGAGATTTCTGGAGTCATCAGATTGTAAGAGCTGCAGTGATTAGGGTTTCAATAAAGACATAAATCCTAGGCTATGAGAGCCATGTTGACATTTAACATATTTAAGAAGAGGGCTCCAAATCTCTTGATGTAGAGAGGAGGAGCCTCACTGAAGATAAGCCTTAGCATCCCAGACTTCTTGAGACATCAGCACTGTTGGGGGCTTCCTGGGCCTCTGTCAGTGGCCAGCTCTTTTATTCCTGTCAGCTAGAAAACCCCAGCCAGAGGAGAGAGTTTCATCCGGGTCCTCCTTGCCTGCACATGGCTGGCCTGGGCCTATACCTCTGTGTCTGATTAGCAGGCTGCAGAAATGAGGGTGTTGCCAGTGTCCTTGTTATGGTGTCGGTGTCTTCCCTGGGTGTGTGAGATCCACCACAAATGCTCACGCTCCAGCCCTACACCTGTGTGTCTAGGGAAGGGGACAGTGCATGCTGGTCCTCCTGATTTCATCCACACTGGGTTGGCATGTTAATCTGACTAATTGCCATTTTCAGGTAGGTCTTGGGTGTATGGCAAGCAGTTTCCTTTTGGGCACTGAGGAATTAAGTGACAGTGTGAGAAGCCCTTGCTAGTGACTGAGCCTTCACCTAGCCAGGGGTGGGGGTAAGGAAGTCTTTCCTAATTGCAGATGTCCATGAGCTCAGAAGCAGCAAAGGCTTTGAATTGGCTGCAGGGTGTTTTGGTATCCTTTCTTTGGAATTTGGTCTTTTGTGTTAACAAATAATCCAGTATCTCAGAGCCCTACTTCCTTATTCTATAAGCAGGTAATAAAGGTATCCATCCATGCAACCAGTGAAAGGTCAGATGTTTGATAACCATTAGGAGATGCCATAGCTATAGTAGCATTTGTGGCTGCTGTTGTCATCAGACTGCAGTAAAACTGGGCCTACACAGAGATTTCTGAGGTTCCTACTGGGCCTCAGAACCAGCCTCAGGGAGCTGACTCCCTTTTCAGTCTGCAGGGTGAGGACTCCCCTGGTTGAAATTGTGAGGTTCTGCAGTGTGGATGAAAAGTAAAGCTGCTGGATAGGTCACCTCTGAGATAAGGTGGTGCAGCTTCATAGTTCTCAGAGTCCATTTTTTAGTTCTTCATTGCTGACCGTCAGAACAGGTATCGAATCAAGTACTTGGAGAGACTCTCACATTATCTGTCTGTGACCTAAATGCCACTTGCAGCATCTGTGGCACGCAGTTCTAGCTGCACATTGCAGTCACCTGGGGAGCTTGAGCCCCTCGATGCTGCACTCCACCCTTGGAGACTGGCTCATTCTGGGATGAGAGCCAGGGTTGGCTCTCTGAAGCTCTCTGGGGTTCTTGTGTGTAACTCACATCGGGAACTCCTGAGAAGTAGAATGCTGTGTTTGCTGAATATTCCACTAGTCCAAGCACTCACTTGAGAAGAGAAAAGAGAAGAGAAGAGAAGAGAAGAGAAGAGAAGAGAAGAGAAGAGAAGAGAAGAGAAGAGAGGAGAGGAGGGGAGGGGAGGGGAGGGGAGGGGAGGGGAGGGGAGGGGAGGGGAGGGGAGGGGAGGGGAGAGAAGAGAAGAAAAGAGAAGAGAGACGGGAGAGGGGAGAGGGGAGACGGTTGGGTGACCATGGTTCCAGGAAGCATCTCTTTGTGCATTCATGGACTACTTAAAACACCAGATCCATAAATTTGCTGTTCGAAGGCTAATGTTGCACGATTAATTGAATGGACACAATTCTCTTGGAAGTTATTTCTTCAGCATTTGGGGAATTTTTCAAGGATAATTTATTTAACATTTTTGCTGAGCTTCAAGTTTCTTAAGAAACCCTGCCAAATCTCACAACGATTTTTTAGACATATGCAGCTGCTTCTGAGTTAACAATGGAGTTTTTCTAGAGCCATTAAAATCTGGAAGCCTAAAGTTCTATTTTAAACCCATCTCATTGTCAGTGATTAGTCTTTTTAAAAAATAGCATTAAAAATAATAAAATCCTCTTAAAGGAAGCCATTCTAAAATTCTGACCAAAAAAAAAAAAAAAAAAAAAAAAAAAAAGCAGAGCAGCTTCAGTGTGGGAGCTAAACAGTCAGTAATCCTTCCGAATGGAGTTGATACCCAAGGAAGCGAGAAGACCTGACACTCTGACTATGCCCACAAGGAGAACCTGTCCATTTCCCATTCCTCAGTGGCTCTGCAGGCTGCGGGCATAGCCTCTGTGCAGCTCCCCCTGGCCTCTGCCTGCTCCGGGGCACACTGTAAAAAGTCATCCGCTGCCTGTGTTGTGCCAGGGCTACCTGGGTGCATTTTTCTGCAATGTTCACTCCAAGCATAAGCAGAAACCAGATCGCTCTTTGCAAG